TTTTTGTTTTCTCACTGTGGTGGCCACAATGTTAACGAGGGAGAACGAGGGCAGCAAGAAAAGTGTGCGCAAAGTGGTGCAGGATTTTGTCCATCAACAGTATTAGTAGCGATGGCCTCCAACCTACTAGCAATGGCCTCCAACGTAGAAGCGATGGCCTCCAACAGCACACGTGTTTCGACGATTTCAAGTGGCACAGGATGCAATCTTGTTTGCTGAATCTTGCTTCATCCTCCCCTTCATTTCACTTGTCTTCATTGTCTTTCTTCATGTGGTGACAGTTGTCGTCTCCAAAGTCATTGCGGTAGTCAAAGGCTTTAAACATAAACATTCTTAGTCATCCGCAACTCAGTCATACCCGCCATCTGAGGTGAAAACTGATCCAGAACAATCCCTTCTCCACGTGCTTGCATTGCCAGGGCGAGATCGCGGGCTTCTTCCATGGCACCGGTGGACACGAGCGTCAGCTCTGCTCCATAGACTGCCATGCTGGCACGCCTCTCTAAGCTCATATTCTCAGGCATGATGAGCTTCAGCTTGTAACCCTTGATAGCTGCAATCGCTGCCAATGCAATCCCTGGCGACAGTGTCCCCGAAAACCCGCATTGATCTGATTGATCTCTAGCAGCTAGCAAAAATATGGTATGTTGTGGCCGCACCATAGTATCTGGAATAGCTTTGTGAGATGAAGATATTCGCTACCTAAGGTGAGATTCTGTCCAAGTGGTCCACGATCAATTTGCCACACGTCTCAAAATGCCGCGCCTGTGTTTCCCGAGGTTGCTTCGATTAAGGTATCACCAGGACGAATGCGGCCTGGATAACAATGGCACAGCTGCTGGGAGCAGTTTGCAATCTGAGTCATTTTTCATGAGAACTGCAATCGTGACTGCGCTGCAACATATTTTCTGAGGAGCTCACCTGAAGCCTCTGCACGTGTGATCATCGAAAGAGCAGCACGATCCTTTACACTGCCTGCTGGGTTGTTGCCTGCGACATGTGCTGGGTGTGTGCATGTGGAATATGGCATCAACTTGCTGGAATGGGTTCTCATGCATATACTGTAACCAAATGAGCACCAGCTTGACAATTGAACACATTGCAATGCACAACATACTGTATCGTGCTTAAGATGGCATGGTCCATCTTTGCATTTAGGGCATCAAGCTATTGTGAGTGTAAGAACTTGCACACATGATACATGTCCTTTTCGAGTTGAACACTTTTCGAGACGAAGCTGCCTTCAAGTTTGCACAACACGATGGAACCCCACTCATTGGGCACCATTCTCTGGAGTCGCACCACAGGCGTCTCTCCAACACAATCTTCCATGGTACATCCCAACGCACGCAAATTGGAGAAGTTCACCTTTGCTTCCACTTGCCTCACCATACTGATGTCTGTTGGTGATGTCGCGACCGAAACATGCCATTGCTGTCTCAGGGCTCTGCTGAAAGCAGAGACTACCCGGACTCTACCCCGCGCCAACATGGGCACAAGCATCGATCAGGTTGAGACAACAGTGCCCCGGCAATCTGCATCACCGTGTCTACATTCCCACGTTAAACATTGTGAATGATCTGAACGAGTATGAAAGTACCTGAGAACCTGTGGGTAACATAGATACGTAGCAAATGAACATAGCCTGATTGGTGCACAAGGGCTGGTTTGGGCCAAGGGAGAAGTGGGTCATGAATTCACTTGAACTCTTGCTTCGAAGCCTGCCACATTTCTCGTTCTCGGCAATCCAACGTTCTGATGCTTCTATATCGGTTTCTTACTGGTCTTGTTCCAATGCGAGAATCAACTGCTCGACTCAATACGCTTCACAACCATTGGCCTCTCTCAAAGCTTAACGAACACTTCAGCGAGGCGCACACTGCGCACACATTTTGTCTTTGAATTCCTTCGGACCAACTCACTTGGGCAGTTGCTAATTACTCGGCCACATCTTCAATGTCCCAAGCCACTGCTAGAATAAATTTGACTTTCTCATGTTCTTCATGCATCCACGAAAAGCTTGGATTTGAGTCTACAGTGCCCATTGTAACTGCAATCAAACGCCGGTGCGCATGCGCTGGTCTTCAAAAGGATTTCCGGATGTACTCTAACAAAGGCCCAGCTATAGAGACTCCACAATGCTCCGCGACATCAACCATCCTCACTTTGAGGGGAAAGGAGCTCTACCGACCTTTCAAAATTAGAGACCTCATGCCTACTTATTTATCTTATCTAGAGATTCTTTGAGAACGCAAACCGAAGAAATTGACATTGAGCCATTGTGACATTGAATTAGCCCAGCTGGAGACCCCAATAGCAAGATACAAACCGGGACAAAAAGAAAAATCTGGAAACAGCATGAAACAGCTGCTGCTTTCAACACATCGACCATCTCTTCCTTGGACACCATCATCACATAACCGGGACACCATCACAAAATGACCAGGGCACCATCAAAGCATGACCGAGACACCGTCGCAACATGATTGGGACACCATCACAACTTGAGCGGGGAAACACGAAAGGTAGAGACGGACCGAGTAGCTGTCGGGACCTTTTCTGGTGAGGGACTGCCTCCGGTGTTTCAGGAACGTGCCCCTTGGTCAATCATGGATGAAACCAACAAAGCCAGAGAGCACAAGAAGGCATAAGAAGACTCAAGAGGAACTCCGTTGCGGTCAGATTGCGCCACACGGCTCTGCAGAGAGGCTGCGTTGCGTCGACGCTCGTTTGTGTCTAGGTGTGTGAAAACAGGCGTGCGTAAAAGTCGCAATGCGTAAACGCTCGCATGTGTACCAGCCATGGTCCCACAGCTGCACGCACTGTGTCAGGATTACAGGCCTGCACGCGTTGCGTCGAAGCCGCAGTGACTCAGTGACCAACCCCCTTGTAAGGATAGTGCTGGAGGGGTGCGGCCGGTACTGCCAGGGATGGACGTCACGCTATGGTGGGTGTGCTCCACGATGCGGTAAGATTTCGCCACGCTAGGGTATAAGGCTGAGTCGAATGGTGTTCCGCGACGCGAGGGGTTTCTCCACAGGGCTTTGCAGAGAGGCTGTGTTGCATCGATGCTCGTTGGTGTCGAGCACTATGGTCTGTGAACGCAGTACGTGCTGTGTCAGGCTGCCGGGTGCGCACGCGCGGCATCGAAGCTGCATTGCGCGACCTCATTGCG